CATACGCAGAAGAATGAGGTTAGATCCTAACACCATATACAAAATTAATTCAAAAGGGATTAAGGACCTGAATGTAAAAGATAGAACTTTAAAACTCTTAGAAAAAAATAAATGGCAAATCTCCATGACCTTAGATTTGGCAAAGGATTCTTAGACACGACACCAAAAGTATGAGCAACAACAACAAAAAAACCAGACTTCCTCAAACTAAAAACTTTTGTGCTTCAAAGGACACCAAAAAGAATGTGAAAAGACAACCCACACAATGAGGGAGGATATTTACAAATCAAATATCTGATTTGTTTCAGGGACTTAAATCCGGAAATATAAAGTAATCTTACAACTCAATAATTTAAAAAAATGGGCAAAGGATCTGAAAAAACACTTCTCTAGAGAAGATAAGCAAATGGCCAATAAGTACATGAAAAGATTCTCAACATCATTAGTCTTTAGGAAAATGCAAATCAAAACCACGAGACTCCACTTCACACTCACTAAAATGGCTAGAATCAAACAGTAAGATAATAAGTGTTGGAAAATCTGTGGAGAAACTGGAACTCTCATGCTTGGCTGGTGGGAATGTAAATGGTACAGCTGCTTCAGAAAATAGTGTGGTTGTTCCTCAAATGATTAAACATAGAGGTTACCACACAATCCAGGAAATCCACTCTTAGGTATACACTGAAGATAAATGAAAACATATTCTATATGAAAACTGTACATGAATGTTTATAGCAGCATTACTCATAACAGCCAAAGGCAGAAACGACCTAAATGTGCAACAATGGACAAATAGATCAACAAAATGTAGTAAACCCATATACTGGAGTATTATTCAACCATAAAAAGGAATGAAATACTGATACATTTACAACATGGATGAATTTACTCTAAATGAAAGAAGCTAGTAACAAAAGACCCCATATTATATGATTCTATTTATATGAAATATTCAGAACAGGGAAATCTATAGAGATAGAAAGTAGATTAGTGGTTGCTTAGGCCTGAGAGTGAGAGATAGGACAACAGGGGTCTGATAGCTAAAGGACATCATATTTCTTTAAGAAGTGATGAAAATGTTCTAAAGTTGTGGCAATGTTCATTCCTATCTGTGAATGTAACAAAAAAATCCATTAAATTGTATACATTAAATGAGTGAATTGTTTGGTGTGTGAATTATGTCTCAATAAAGCTGTTTAACAAATGTAACGAGACACTCACTTTCAGGTGTCAATCCTGCATTTCCACAAACCTGAAAGGTAGTGCCTCTTTAGATTTTGCACCCTAGGTTCTTTGCCTTGCGTCACCCTAATCCCAAGTGTGCTCTGCATCCTTCCTTCCTTACACAAATAAAACCACTTTTTATATGTTGTTGTTGTACCTCTTGTCTCAGTAGAGGTTTTATGTAAGATGGCTAAAAGTAGAAAGTTGCTTAGAAATACTCATTTCCTTTCCTTTTTTTTTTTAAATACAGAGTTCACTAGAGTTTATGACAAGCATCTTTGGGAACAACAAGAAGAGAAAATACTTCTCTTTTCAGAGTGATCACACAGTAGAATAATAGGTTTCCTCAAAATTTAATTGATGATGAGACCTGAGCTCTGCTTGGTGGCAGCACTTCAAGGAACCGGCAGAATTTTAGAGGAGATGGCCATCTACCTGGACAGAGGCTTTGGGGTTCGTGGCCTCAGCCAATTATTCTGGCCATAGTTTATAAATGGTATGCAAGGAGAAAGCTATCAAACTTCCAGAGACCATATGACCCTGGACAAGACAGATGTTAGCAGAAACCTTGATGAACTAGAGCTCTCTCTCCTTTCTTTTTTCCTAGTACCATTTAAAGTATGAGAATCCCTGATATTGATGAAAATTTAATTTCTTGCGACCCTGACAGAATGAGGGCTTGGAGTCTCTCAGATATTTTTAAAACAATAAATAAATGGATATTTCTTATACATATGAGGCTTTTCTTTTAAACTTTTTGTTTTGGAAATAATCTCAAAGTTGCAAAAATTAAAATAGTACAAAGAATATCCATCTATCCTTTACCCAGATTCACCTACTGTTAAAATTTTCCCTCATTTGCTATACACCAAATATGATATTTAACTTAATTATATGTTTGTATGTATATTTACATAACATATATTTGTGAGTTTGTACATACAAATAAACAGTATTTTTCTGAACTATCTGAAGGTAAGTTATCTAGATCATGATCCTAAAACATTGGGTTGTATATACATATTAGGACCAAGAGAGAAATTCTCTTTTATAACCACAGATAGGGTTGCCAGATTTAGCAAATAAAAATACAGAACATCCTAGGTAAATTCCAAAAAAAATTTAAGCTTCTGCGCTTCCCTTACTAGGAAAACCATTATATTCCCTCTTCTGGACACACTTAGATTCCGTTCTTGGATTTGATGAGTTCTGGGTCCTCTTGGTTACCCTTTAAATCCTCCAAAATAAATGTAAGGCACTGGGCAAAGTTTCTGGTAACTAGTTTATGTCTGTCATTACCTTGCTGATAAAAGTGAAGGCTGGTGACTCTGGTATTGAATTAAAACTTGTATTTCTCCATCCTTTATACTTGTCCTATACAATACCATCTCTTGAAAGTTCTGTTGACTTAGTAGTGTTTCTGAGAATTGAATAAAATAATTGTCTTATAAAAACCACTGCTCAGTCAAATTTAATATGTATATAAATCGTCACTGGATCTTGTTAAAATGTAGATTCTGATTCAGTACAATTGAAATGGGGCCTGAAATTTTGTATTTCTTAATAAGCTCCTAGAGGATACTAATACACAGGTCCTCCTATCACACTTGGAGTAGCAAGATTATCACCACCTATGTCACAGTCAACAGGTATTTGTTAAATAAGTAGGTACCTATGCATTATCCCTATGTACTGATTCAGGATCTCTGGGGCAGTGTCCAGGAGTATATATTTTAAGTGAAATCCTAGAGAGACCAATGGTTTATAGGTTTGAAATGCCCTCTTCTTTTTTCTCAGCTTATTAATTTTTTTTTTTTTTGTCATTCAAAGCCCATTGCTGGTCCCTTCTGCCACTTTTTGCTTTTACTGACAACCTCACACTCTGAATTCTTAATAGTTGTCTGTAGCAAGCACTTCCTATTTATCATGGGCTATCTTTTCTTACATACATCCTCTCCCCAGATTTTAATTTTGAAATAAACAATTAAGTTATATACTTTCTTGTAGCCTCAGCTCCTAGCATAATGCTTAGCATAGAGTAAATGTTTAAGGAACGTTCCTCATGGACAATAATGCTGATGATAGTAAACGATGAATTTCCCTCCAGGACACATGGTTATTTCCCAGGCTTCGGGTGATTAAAAGAATCTGCTGACTCCATTAAGGAAACACCCAACTGATTAGCAAAAACTGTAATTCCCAAATACGGCAGGTTGTTTTTCAGGAATTGGCTCTACAATCCTTTTGTGCCTTGGTAATTTGGATTTTATTATGGTAAATGGCACTTTTAAAGGAAAGAAAGTAGCACTTTAAATTTATTATGTCTTTTATCTATGAACCTCAAAGCATTTTAAGGCCATTCATTAAAGCTACTGTAGCCAAGGTATAAATATTATTACATTCTCCTTACAAAAAAAGCTGGACCAGCGAAAGAGTTGTTAAGATACTTGGTCAAAATCACAGAGCCATTTTAAGAAGGCTACACCAAGAATCTCAGGAACATCTATGCCTGAAGGTAAGCACTTCTCAGCATCTCCCACACCTCAAGTCCTGTGACTTGCAAGGCGAACATTCTGTAGAACAGAGGAGACCAAAACACGGAGAAATTTAAGATTATTTCAATTTTAAATTCTTCTTCCTCTGTATTCCTATTGCCATTGCTCTTTGCACTTTCTTAGGACACTTATACATTTTTACTTATGATTAAGTGCTGACATATCTGCCCTCTTTCGCAACTTGGCG